ACTGTGACATTAGGCAACAAATGCTACACTTGACCTACTCTGGTGCATGTCTCCTGCAGCCCTCTCTTGCTCTGGGACCACTTCTAGTTCAGTCATGTTTTACAGTTTTCTAAACACTGTCTTGGGGACAACAGTAGCATCCAGAGTTCTGGATCAGCTCAGTCTTTCTCTTGCAGACTTTGGGTAGGTGTCACGGCACAGCTCCAAAATCTTTTCATGTTCTGTTGACTCCTGGATTTCAGAAAGGTAGCCAGCCCTCTGCTGTGTCCCAGTCGACCTCAAGGTCACCTTGTGTCCTTCAACTGTTAAGTTCCAAATGGAGAAATGGGTAAAGGAAAGAGTGGCGTCTGAGGAGGTACACTACTGACGTCACGCATGAGACTATGTACTTCTAGCAATTCCTCTTCCGAGGCAACCCACCCTGTTTTCCATTGGGCAAACCTGCCCATCCCTGTTGGCTGGCACACAGACAAGCTTCTGGAGTGTTAAAGTGGATTTAAGGGGCATCCTCTCTACGTGACTCCAGTCAAGGTCACGAGGCACCTGGAAGCACAAGATGAGCAAAAGGCCCCTCGGAAAAGGGAGAGAGCTCACCAATCCACGATGCTTAGGAAGGTGACCAGGAGGCACCCACCCATCTCGACCTGACCATCGATTTCTAAGAGCAAGTAGATGGGCCTTCCATCTGTGGGCACCATGACCTGGGTTCACAGACGCTTCTGTGCGCCGTTCCTGTCTGTTCACTTTCTACCCACTTCTCAGCTGTCAGGGGACTCTCCTACCTGGGGCCATACTCAAAATCAAGGAGAGTGGTCCTTTGGGTGTTGGTGCTTGGGTTCACTTGTCACCTGATTTCAGATGTCTTTGGAGCTCTGTATCCAGCTACCTTCAGTGAAAACTGGCAAGTGTCCTTCCACGTTGATTAGGACAAAGCATGCTTTAAGGAGGCTCACTGCCGAGAGCGTGGGTTGCCCTTTGGACACTCCAAGCCACACACACCTGCTCTGTGCACAGAAGGGCTTCTCTCCTCCAGAAGGTACTCCCTAAGTGGCAATGCCACATCCCTTCCAGTTTTAGTTCTAAGTAAACTAGAAAATGTCCCCAGAGCCAGCCCTTGGAATAAAAGCCCAAGGGCCACATTGGGACCCAGGTTCTCATGACTCTTTTCAACACAAAGGTTGCCTGAAGGACTGAAGGACTGAAGTGAAGGAAAGGCAGTGACTTTCACTCCCACACATGTGTGGTGGGGCCCAGAAATGACCACATTTGTCCTCTTACAACGTGAGACTTGCTTTCTTCTTCTCCTTGAAATGAAGAGCATGTTGAGCCTAGGCTCCGACACCACAGGACAGTGTGCTCGGGTGGTCAGAAAGATGGGGTGATCACTTATCCACCAACATCAGGGTTCTGACCATGTGGGGCACTTCACAGACAGCTCTGGAAAGTGTGTGTGTGTGTGTAGGGTTCTCTGAGCAGCTTCATCACGCCTTGAAGCTCTTGGAATATGCCCTACGGGCCTGCTGTACACCAGGGATCCACGTGGTCACCTCTCCTTTGGCCGTGAAAGCACACAGTACCTGACAGGGCTACCCCAGTGCCAAGACACGCAAGTGACATAGACAAGAAGCATCACCGACAATGAGGGCCACACATTTTCTGGTGCTTTTATTGACCTGCATGTTTCCTGGCAAAACGATTGTCTAATGTGTGCTGGGCCCTGATGTCAGGGCAGTCTGGGGACGTGCAGGTGGGTGGCACGTAGTTTGAGAAGCAGAGGCAGTTGGTGCAGCAGGGGCATGGTATGGCCAGCGGGTGGGAAAACATGGACAGCCATGAGGGGCACGGGGACCCAGACATGGCAGAAGGGCCATGCAAGGTGGACGACTTGTGGTGTATAGGAGGCCCGGCCGGCAGGCCCACCATCGGGTCAAAGGCAGGCCCTAGGAAGAAGGCCGAGAGGAGCTGTGCAGGCTCAGTGGTGCTGGCCTGGAGGGCAGTCCCGGGAGCCTGGGTGCTCTGCGGCGGGCCAGGAGACGGGGCCGACGGCTCCGCCGTTGCCTCCAGGGCTGTCTGTCCGGCCTCACAGGCCTCGCTGGAGTCGATGGCAGAGCACACCTGACCTGCTGCTTCCAGCCATTGCTCTGGCCATTTCCCGGTCCCTTGGTCCCACTCGCTTGTTCTCAGTGAGAGATGAGCAGGCCTCCTGGCGCTCGGCCCCTGCAGTGCTGAAGGAGGTCTCGGCACTTCGGGCCTGCCCTCCCCTTGCTGGGAATCCGTGTCCAAGACTGGCTTAGATGCCGCTCTGATGCCCACTCCTCTGTTCATGTTCGCAAGGAGCTCAGGACGCTCTCTCTTCAAATAGGGACAACAGTAGAAACACAGCTGAGAGCCACTACTTCAAAAGAAAGAAATGAATGGCAGGTCACACAAAGACTGGCTGCGACTCGCGACGAGTATACACCCCTGAGCCGTGTGACCAGCCAGCCTGGGCGCCCTTCGCACAAAAGTCCCAGTCCCATATGGGGTGTGGAGACCCCACTGCTGATCCTCAACACTCCCCAACCTCAGGCTTGCACTTCACCCCTGGGAAAGGACTCCACATGCAAACTACCAAGGAGTCGGCCAGCCAACGGGGAATCTGCAGTTGCACAGTGGCAGTGAGGATGCTCACCAGCTTCCCGGTGACAGGGCAGCTGGCAGCACGCTTGACCCCCGGCTGGGGGCCACCTGCTCTTCATCACCGGGGGGCAGTGGCTCAGGCCTCTGCCTTCGGCTCCCTGAGTGTTGCGGTGCAGCATCTGAGCGCCCAGCTGGCGGGGCCCTGCTCTCGGCAGAGGAAGGAAATGACACACCTAGCAAGGGGACAAGTTCAAGAGCCGGGGAACCATGGCACTCATCGGTTGCAAGAGGGGACACGCCAAGCCGGAGACTTGGCCGCTGTCATCTCGGAAACCCTCTCCCTGCAGTCACTCAGTCACTGTCGCCACCACCCAGAGGGGACACTGGCACTGGAGCTGTCCTGCACCTCGACCGAAGTGCCCCATCTCCCTAGAGGCTGTCCAGGGAGTTCAACCACCTGGTCCACCAGCCTGCCACCTTAGTCCCAGGAGACCCTGGGTCACTGGTTACCTGGCTCAGGATGCACAGTGATGTCCATTCGGCCAGAAAGTTAGTGAGGCAGAAGGGGCCCGAGGCGGCGTGGAGGATTTTTCTGAGGGCATAGAGGTTGAGCTGGCGGGCTTAGTCCATGCCGTCCGTTTCCAAAATCTCTCTGGGAAACAGTTTTCTCATCGATCCCGATACACGTGCCGCCACAGTCCCACCAAACTGGCTGCTGTTCACGATGTGCCAGCGGTTTTCTTTGGAAAGGGGCGAGAAAACAGGCTGGCGGCCGGGACTCCTGCAGACAGAGCATCCTGGCTGGGGTGTGGCCTTTTGGACAAAGGCCTTTGGGGCAGCGCTGTTGAGGCTGTCTCCTTGAGCAGGATCCTCCCGTTGGGGTGGCCAGGTGGCAGCGGGTCGTCCCAGGCCCCTGTTGGTGCAGCTGGAGGAGCAGGCCCCTCATGGCCGGTCTGGGGAGCCCTGGCCTTTGTGGAAGAAACAGGTGAGCTGGGCCCAGGCCCTGGGGGGCTGCTTTGCTCGAGACGAGCCGTGCGAAGGGAAGGCTGAGCTTCCTTTCCGTCAACAAGCGCGTGGTATGGCCACCAGCCCTGTACTCACAATTCAGCTTCGGGCCTCACACAGGTTGTTGGGCAGTTACATCCTGACCCCCTAGCAGGTGACCTCACACAAGGCCCAGCTGCACCGACGTGTGGCCTGTCAGCATGTATGTTCTCACGTGGACCACGTGTGTTCCTTTCAGCTGACTGAAGCTTGCGTGTCTCCGAGAGCCCCTGGGTCCAGACAGAACCAGACAGAATTCAGCACCTCAAGGCGTTTAGAGCACCTGCTCAGCCGCGCCTGGTATGAAGCACCTGCCTGAGGTCCAAAGTGTCAAACGCTGAGCAGATCCGGGCTGGACATCCATACTCAAGGCTGCAGCCAGCCATTCTCGAGCATGGTCACAGGCAGGGGCAGCCAAGACCTCCCCAGAGACCCAGCCTATGACATGCCCACAGCGTGGACACGGCCCTTCGCCTCCAGACACTCCATCACACACCCTGTGTCTCCGTGGTCTCTCGGTGACAGGCCCACGTGCCTTCTTTTCCTTGGTCACGTCAGAGAGAAACGCATATTGGATCTGCCCGTGTCGGCCTTCCGCAACTGACCTTTGGAGGCTGGGCCTGCAGCTCCCACGTGGGCTGGCTGTCCACTCACAGCAGCATCTACGTCACGCTCTGCCTGAGGGAAGCAGCAGCTTTCCCAGCACGAGTGTTCTTCCCGCTGTGTCCGTGACTACTCACCGACTGTCTACCCCTGACCAGACAGGTTCTCTGGCTACTTTGAACCTGCTGTATCCTTCATCAGAAAATGCAGGCTTGCCAAAGGAATCTTGTCACTAAAGGGGAAAGACCAGGTTTCTGGTCACGGAGCTCGGTCACAGGATGGGTATGCCATTTGTCTGCATCTGAACAAAGACTCCCTCCTGGTGTCAGGACACGCAGGCCAGCCGCACCTCAACAGTCGCCTTCCTCCTCCCCCTTCCCCTTGGCCCGTGCACACCAGCCTGCGCCCCATCAAGTCTTGGGTACAGAAGTCCGAGTCCCTTTATCTGTCTTCTGCCTGCAACACACTGCGGGGCGCATAAACAGGGGCTCTCCTTGTCAGTTCCCTCTGGGATGTGGGGCTGAGGAAGACTGGCCCTGTGACGGGTCTTGCCCAGGGGCTCTCTGTCCTAACCTCTGCGTGAGTCACAAAAGCTTGTCACGGGGAGTGCCTGTTGGTTGCCGAGAACAAAAGCCCTGCCCGAGCTCATCTTTCACTCTGGCTCACTGCACACCCGCACAGGGGACACCACTGCAAGTCGCCCGGTCCTGACCTGAGCACAGGGATCGTCCACACCCAGCCGTGCCCTCCAGGCAAGGCAGCACCGGCGACCTGGGCGCGAGGCTCCCGCCCCGTGGCTGAGAGCCAGGGCTCCCCCTCAGAAGGCCCAACTGGTGTCCTGGCCAGGCCATGTGGAGCTGCGCCAGCTCAGTCGCGTCATGTGGGTGACAGTGGCAGCACCTGCCCTACAGGGCTGTGGGGGTTCAGAGAGCGCCCAGGGAGCCCAGCACCCGGCAGTCAGGCCTAGCTGCTGCTGTTGCTTGCAGAGATGTGTTTGACAGCAAGTTTGAAACCCTAAGAGATGCTTGCCTATGCCCTTGGGTAGCAACAGGACATCATTTATTCAACAGCAAGGGCTGGTTCTCCTTGTGGGTGGCTACTGGCCATGCACTGACACGCCACCTGAGGCCCCTTTCCGTTCAGTGGCACAGGCGACAGGGTGAGCCAGGGAGGAATTGGCATGGGAAAGTTTGCTTCCATGTCACCAGTGAGGACATTCACTGGAAGGACCACTGGATCCTGATTCCCCTGGGAGACCAACCAGCTTGCAACCCCTGGGACAGGAGGCCCAGGCTCATGAGCTGCAGCAAAGTTGATATGTCATCACCTAGGTAATGGCAGAATCTTGATGCCATCCCCTACTGCCCTCCCATCTCCTTCAAGTTGTCCCTGGAAGCCCCGAGTTCTCAAGGCTTCTCCCCTGCCTGGCTGTCCTGTAGGCCCACAGGCCCTCAGAGGCTGGCGGAGCCCGCGGTGAGTTTCTTGGACCGTCCGTACAACAAGCTGCATACGGGGCACGTTTCAAATGAGGAACCACTTTATTGAACAGCTGAGCGAGCCAAAGTTGTGAGTGTTGCTGGACTTCCTTCACACCATGCAGGCGGGCACAGCCACGCCGCCCCTTTCTTTCTGCCAACTGAGCAGATGCACTGCCAGGGAAGGAGCTGTGTACAGGATTCCACTGGAGCCCAAATCCCCACCGAGCAGTGGCCTCCGCTGGGTATCCTCCTCGCTTCTCCTGCCTGAGAACGTCAGCCCTCCTCTTTCCCTCCTTTAGAAAATGCTGCCTTTGTTTTCTGGCTGAAGGTTCTCCTACCTGCAAGAATTAATTGGATTTCCCCCTTTGGTCCGTGGCTGCCCCAGCAGCGCTTACCCAAAGCGCTGTCAGAGTGAAAGAATGGGACCCTGGCTAAAGCGCTCTCGTGACCACAGTCCCAAAGGTGCAGACTTGATCTACCCATGATTCAGTTGGCCAGGTTTGGTTCTTGGCCACCGTCTACATGGTTCGTTTCAGGTAGTGGTCTGTCGTGTTTGCCAAACCAATGGCCCCCAGACTGGAGAATAAGCCAGGCCTTTTCCTGCTTGCAGTAGACGTCCTGGCAGTAGCAGCTGCTGTCCCCGGAGAAGCTCACTTTTGTGAATGGCTATGTCCCGCATAGGAGTGGCCCTACAGGGTGGCTGGTATGCTACTGGCCTCCCTCCTACACAGAGCATGTCCATCTCCAGTCCACACTGATAAAAAAATACTTTAACCAAATAGACTGTACAGAGTAGGATTTCACACCATCTGTCACAATGCTAAAATCTTTGTATAAATACTATACAGGCTTGGAGTTCCTCCATGACAAAGGGCTCACCAAGGAGGCTGTGAGTAAAATCGGCCCAAGAGCAATGCCCTCCAGGGTAGGGCGCTGGAAACGAGGCCTGTTAAGATGTACAAACCAGTGGGCGACAGCGACATGTATTTGGCGCCTAACGCCTAGGCCCAGCAGACGTTTGGTTCACCCATCATGGCCGACACACGCTCTCCAAACATGCTCTAGTTGAGCATTTTATCAAAGATCCTCGAAGACACCCCTGCTTCGTCCTGATTGCCACCCTGTGAGGGGGATAAGCCCGTTTCTCCCCTCCTCGAGGGTAATGTCTCCCTAAAGCACCTTTCCTCTGACACCCCCCCACCATGCGGTGCAGTGCCCTCTGCCCCTGTGGCACGTGATGGGGAGACACAGATAGGCTTTGAATGCAAACAAGGCATGAGATGAGCGTCCCTGGAGACCCAGGTGCAGTTCCAGTCCTGGTTGGAGGATGCACACAGAGGCAGAGGCTGGGGGAGGAGTGTGTCTGATCCAGCGACATTCCCTCCTGGAAAGAAGCGGCTCTAATCCGGCATTTCGATGTTTAACTTGGGAGGAGGGAGGACATACTTTCCAGGGCTCTGTGTAATGACGACCCTGGCCTTCTTTCGAAACATAGGAGCAATTTTAGGTGGTTCTGGAATGGGGGTTTCTTCGGTTTCTTCATTATCTTCGTGATGGAGATCATATGAAATGTTTCCATACTCTCTTAAAAATGGGAAAATTTCCAGCAGAAACTGACAGAAATCTTTGCGAATACCGAACCACCCTGAAAAATAAGAAAGTACTTTTTCAAAAACAAGGTTCAACTGAGTTTCACCTGCCTTTTTCTTCCTGAATGTGGAGTTGTACTCAGTAATGCTTCATTCTGATGCCCCAGAAACCAAGACTGAACGTGGTCTGACATCCTGGAACCTGACCAGGCCCTCCAGAGGACTCTGTGCGTACGCACACTTGAGAACCACGGTTCTAGTGACGGTCAAATACCTCTGGCCACCTAGACTATGCTGCCAGGCTCTGAGAGAGGAGTCCAGAGATTCATGTGGGATACAGAATGTCATCCAAGTAGAGGAATTCTGTCATCCCCAGCATGTGCTGGCCCAGGCCAGCAGGAGGCTGGGCTCTCAGGGCCCCTCCGCCACTTCCTGGAGGCCTGTCTTCCTGTTGCACCACAGGACAGGCAGCTCGGCACTGGTTCTGATGCACAGCCCACAAAGACAGCCTGGGCTGCAGTCATGGTCTCCTGTCACCTGCACTGGCTTTCAGAAAGGCAGCCTCTGGGCATGTGCACAAAGCGGCGCCAAGCCTCGAGAGAATGGGACCCCTCCCAGATCCTTTCACGTCAGCGTGGTGCACCGTGGGCTTGGAAAGGCATTCCTCACCTTGTAGCCCAAACCGCTCGACAAGGGTGGTGCTGGCCAGGGGAGAGCCGGTGGAAGACCTGAGAACCACCTCGGCCCCAGCTTCCCAGACAGCTGTCTTCATCCGGAGCCCTCAGGCTCCTCTTTCCCTAGAGCGTGGGCAGGCAAACATGAACACACACACACACACACACACACACATCCCCGAGGGCTTCTAAATACCATATACATACAGTGGTTTCCTCCCTTCTGTCCAAAGGTGGTTGCCATGAGCGTGATCAGCGAGAGCCACAGTGGGACAAATATTGGTATACAAGAGAATGTATTGTGGCCATCCAGTTTGTGAACCAGCAAGATCTACAAGAGAAACAGCCAAGGTCATGCTGATGCAACATCTGGGAGTGGTCAGAGGAAGTCTGCAGCCAGCGTCATGCCAGACACCCCTCGTCAGGTCTCAGGGAGGGGCGTGAGCACTAGAGCAAAGCCTGGCCACCCTCCACCCAGTCAGGAAGGGGCAGCCCAGAGGCCAGGCCTCTTCATGACTAAGCCCATGTAGTCCCCAAGACCTGTGCCTCTCACGGGCAGGTCTCTTGGTGCTTGTGCTAAGGAGTAAACAGTGCCTGTGACACAATCCTGCACAGAAGTAAAATACAAAGCCCAACTTTCCTTTTCAAACAGCAGCAGCAGCAGCAGTTAACTAGGAGTGGGTGCTGGCTACCAGGAGCCCTCTCACGAGACAGGAAAGGCTATTCTCATTTTCCCAACTGTCTCTTGTAGGCATCTGTGCAGGGGCTGGCTGCCCCGGGTGTTTGGCCACTGTTACTGGGAGGGTGTGGCTCAGGGTGTCAAATGGCCCCGTAGAAGGTACCTCAAAAGTAAGCAGCGGAACGACGATGGTCATCCAGCTCAGGGCCATTGTTATGTGTGTCCTTCGCTGCTCCGCAATCACGTCCATGGAGCGCAGGAACAGGACAGACCACACAATGTAGTAGAGGACAACCAGGCACAGGAAGGCCATGAGAATCCATAAGGGGACACACACGACCTGAGGGCAAGAGAGACAGCTCTGCAGGCGGAAGCGCTGGAAAAGCTTTGCTGGGTCTCCCCAGTCAAGACAGCGCAAGACTCAATATGGGCAGTCCCACCTTCCACAACAGCTGGAGGGACAGCACAGTACACTTGGCACAGGGCCTGCGCTCTGGAATGTTCTCTGCTGGTCACTCTGCTGGTAGACACGGCTTGCCTCTGCGTCCCCTCCCCTGCTTGTCATCCAGTCCTGTTAGCATCCCAACTCCTTGAGGCTCTAGCTAGTTGGCAATGGATTTGGGAACTTACTCCCTGGAATTGTCAGCTGTCCAGCTTTCCACAGAGCCCTGCTGATTTCCCACCCCGACGCTGGGTGCCCGCCCTCCCCTGCCTGGGCCTCCACACTAAAACGGGCTCTGGACGATGCTGCAGGACCGGAAGGACCTTGCTCCACCTCAGGCAGCCCGCAGGACAAGCGTGGAGGCACCTTCTGGCCCAGCTCTCTGGACTTTTCTTCTTTTGTATATAAATCTGTGACTTTTAACACATGTACAGATTTAAGTAGCCATGCCCAGAATGAACACCAAATGGTTCTATCACTGCAAATGCCCCATGCCAGCCTAGCTGTCACACACTCTCCCCACCCAGATACCCTGACAACTGCTAGCACTATACTTTCGTCTTTTGTAGAACCTTAGACATGGAATCAGACAATCCGCAACCTTTCAGCCTGGCTTCTCTCAACCAGAATACCTTTGAGCTTCATCACCGTGGTGTGTATATGGACGCTGTGTATATATGAACGGGTGTTTCCTTTATATTGCAAAGTGCTATTCCATGGTATGGATGTACCCATCTGTGTATCCAATCACTGAACGGTAATGGGGGTTGTTTCCAGTTGGAGGCAATCATAAATAAGGCTGCTACAGATTTCCACACATGGGTCTTGGTGTAAAGCCAAGTTGGCAATTCCCAAGGGTAAATTACCCCCAGGGTGAATACCAGAGGAGGCTGGCCTTAACTTCCTGAGAAACTGCCAGGTTGTTTTCCAGCCCTGCGGCTGCACTTTATATCCCTAGCAGCCATCTTTGTGGGTTCCAATTTCTACCTTTTCTTGTCAACACTTGCTATTGTCTTTTTGATTATAGGCATCCTCACTCACTGGCTCCCCATTGGTTTTCCAAGGCTGTTAAGTCTTCATGGAAGCAGACTGCCTCATCTTTCTGCCATGGAACTGCTGGTGGGTTAGAACCACTGACCTTTTGGTTAGTAGTCAAATGCTTTAACTACTACACCAGCAGAGCGCCTTACAGGCATCCTCAAAACCAAACTCACTACCATCGACTCAGATCTGACTCATAGCGACCCCTCCTTGGGTTTCCAAGGCAGTATCTCTACAGAAGTAGATTCCCCAATCTTCCTTCAGAGTGGCTGGTGGAACTGAACCCCCAGCCTTCTAGTTAGCAGTCAAATGCCTTAGGCATTACGACAACAGAGCTCCCACAGGGATCCTAGTGGGGATGAAATGACATTTAATGGTGGTTTTGATTTGCATTTCCTTGATGGCTAATGAAGTTGAGCCTCTTTTCACATGTTGATTTGCTATTTGCATGTTCTCTGGTAAAATGTCTGTGCAAGTCTTCTGCCAATTTTTAAATTTGGGTGTTTATTCTCTTATTTCTGAGTCTGAGAATTCTTTATTACTCTCTGGATAATAGTTCTTTGTCAGGCATGTGCTTGGCAAATACTTTCCCTGCCTCTGTGACTGGTCTTTTCACTCATTTTACTTTGACTTTGAGGATGTCCAAATTTATGGATTTTTTTCTTGTATGGACCATGCCTTTGATGTCATGTCTTAGAACTTTTTACTCATTCTCAAGTCCTCAAGATCTCCCCTATTTCTAGTTTTACCTTTTGCTGATAGATCCATAGATCCCTCTGCAGTTGGTATCTGATTTGCAATCCTCTTGACCAGCTAGTTGGTGGCTGTCGGTTTTGCTAGATTTTACGCACGGAGTACTATGTGTTCTGCCTGCTAAAGCACTTCTGTCATCACACGGTCCCTGAAGTTCTATCCTCATGACCTCACCAGCCTTACTTACTTTACTTGACCCTTGTGGCAAACGTGTCATCAGATTGCTTCATCTGTTGGGACCCGCACAAGACTGGGGCTTGAGCAATCCCTCAGTTAACTTCCAGAAAACACTCAAAATCCCTAACTGTATGTGCTCCTGATTTGAGCTTTCCTCCATGTCACTACAGAGTTACCCAGATATTGCACAGGGACTACAGCGCTTCTTGCTCAGAGGCTTTGGGCAGAAATTATGAATGCCGCCTGCACTAATTACGGAGGCGCCTGTGTGCCCTTATTTTCTTCCCTGCCCCTAAACGATGATGATTATTTTTTTTTTTACTAATTTTTTTCCAAATGTAAACCATGTTCACCACAGAAAATTTCTAATGTGCAAAAGTGTACAATCAACACACTCCATGATTCTATCCATCTGAAATTCCATTCACCAAAGCAGGGGGAAGGCGAGCCAGCAAAAGCACACAGGTTTCTTCTTGGAGAGATGAAAATGTTCTAAAATTGACTCTGGGGATGGTTGTATCTATGAAGATGCTTAAAGCCACTGAAGTGTACACCTTAAATGGGAGAACTATACCGTATTGAACAATATCTCAATAAAGCTGTTAAAATATAAATTCAAAAGAAAAATAATCTGACAACAAAAACAGAAAGTGAACATCAAGCAGCTGGGGTACAACTTACCCCCAAGAGCTAAAGAAGCCCCTCTGCCTTTGGGCCCTATCTTCTTTCTATGCATTTAATAGTTGACACCATACAGTATTCTCACATTTGCAGTATACCATCCATCCACCCTCTGTCCGTCCATCCATCCATTCACCGCCATCCATCGTCCCTGCACTGTCAATGTGAACCAAACACTCACTAACTGGAGCCACAGTTTTCAAAGCTTGCCTTAGACTCCAGCACCTGCAGGAGCACGCGCTGACACACCCTTCTGGAAAGCAAGCTGGCAGCGCAGCCGTACCAGAGAATCCCCAGAATTCCCACGCTCTAACCCAGTACTACTGCTTCTGGAGTTGTGCCTGCAAATACTATCCCCAAACCAGGCAAAGACTGTTATGCACAAAAATAAACACAGCAACGTGCTTTATGATCACAAAACACTGGAAAAAAACTAAATATTCAGAAATAGGTGGATGGTGGAACAGTAATTTGCATGAATTAAACGTTAAAGTTTGTTTATAAAGAATTGCCCTGAGGAAATGTGATGATAACGATATTAAAACCAAAAAGCAGGATATGCAATCATACATACAGTATGATCTCAGCTTTCTGTACAAAACAGTAAAACCCAAACAGGAAACAGAAAACACGAACCATGGTTATCTCCCAGTGGTAGGATCAGGGCTGATTCTTATCCTATTAGCTATAGCTCTCCCAACTTTCAAGGCACATGAATGACTTTTACAATAAAAAGAAAAGTTTATTTAAGGATTTAGAAGGTTACGTACAAGCCATGGCCAGTGGATGATCTTGTCCAGTCTTAAGGCGATGAATATAAACTGAAGAATGTTGACAGAGCACAGGATTTCTAACTAAAAAGGAAAAGAAGAATTAAACAAAGGAAAAGCTGTGTTCAACACTGGAATGATTTGGTTAACAAACTATAAGGTAATGCAAATCACAATCCAGTAAAACCTTTTTAAGTGACACTGGTTTTTGGCATCAGAGGAGCCAAGCAGTGCTGTCCCCAAGAGCGACCTGCTGCTGGTGTGCGCCTTGTCCCTGCTGCTCGGGCGGCCCCACTCTTTATGCTGCCCAAAGCCTGAGCAGTGGATTTGCCAAGCTTCCTTCCTGTCCCACCAGTGAGCATCTCTATCCGTAACCATCCCCGCACTTCCTCTTCTCTTACCCAAGCCTACCGGGCTACTGGGGATCCCACCCTTTCTTTCTGCTAATATCAAAACAGAGATTCCCCACCACAGCTTTAACCCTGCCTATTCCACTGATCCTCCCCACAGTTCAGAAACAAATTCAATGATTTTCTGTTAAAAATAAAACCAGCCCCAAACCAAACAAAGCCACCCTCTCTTGATCCCATGCCCTCTCAGCCCTGGCTCTCTCCTTCCCTTGCTTTGTGAGCAGGCACAGGAAATTAACGTCCACTGCCTCAACTCCCCCCACTAGGTCTTTCCACTGCTTCATCCTGGTGACAATTACCCCCCACTGTGGTGTCAGAGTGTTTCAGTTTCAGAGTTGCACCCTGGCAGAGCTGGCCACTCCTTCCCGCCTCAAACTCTCCTCCTGGCTTCTAGGGCACCACCATGTAGAGTGTGAACCCAGTAGAGACACATACACACATGTGCCCCCACCTGAACTCATTACACCGCCCTGGCGAGAGAATGAACTCACATTGCCTCCTCCTGGCTGGTTCTCCAAGTTGTCTCCAACCTGCCTAATTTCAGAGGCCTGACCCAGCTGTCCACATGCCCTGGGGCTGTCCAACAGGCAACTCAATGAATCCAGTACCAAACTGTACCTTTAACCCTGTCCCTCCCCCATCTCTGTAAGGTGCCAAATTGTCTAATTACCCTGACTACGAGCAAGAAGCTGGACAGCACTCAGAATCCGCGTCCCACACTTCTCATTCAGTCACCAAGTCCCACCTGCACACCTGACTCCTGTCTGCTTTCTAGTCAACGACTGACCTCCTAGCTCAGGCTTCTCGTCAACCCAGCCCTGCCCCTTCCATAGTCCCCTTACCCACATGCCCCACCCCCCAGGCTGCGCTCCACCCTGAAGGTGGAGTGATACCCAGCATGATGGCACCACGTGCCATCCTTCCACGTGCTCCACAGCCCACAGAATGAAAATCGGAACTTTATACCACGAGACACAAAGCCCAGAGGTTTCCACAATGATTTTCAACCCTAGCAACTGCCAAAGCCCAGCTTCACAACCATTAGCAACGGAACATATGCAACGGGACCTAATAAGAAAGCCATATGCTACTCTGAGCTACTAGTTCACACGTTGTCCCAAGAAATGGCAAACGGAAACTATCCCAGCGTGGTAGTTAAAGTCATGTGTCAACTTGGCTGGGCCTGGTTGAGTGGCTGGGCAGCTGGATGTAGTTACTCCCCATGGTGAGATTGGTAATTAACCCCATGGTGGAATTTACTAGAGCAGCTGAGTAGCTGCTTTAGGGACGTGGGCTGCTTCCAGTATATAAGAAGCAACTTTGAGGAAGGTCTCTAGCTTTCAGGCATGCTTGAACCCTGCAGGTAGCTGAGCTGTTGTTCAGCAGCTTGCCATGTTGCCCTGCCAATCTTGGGACTTTTAATGGACTTAACAAATGGCCAGCCGTGTGGTTTGGTAACATCAGGACTGTGCCTTCTCACTTGTCAACACTGGGTTTGTCAACCTCGGGTTTGTCAACCTCAGCAGCCATTAGCTGTCTGAGTGAAGAGATGCCTCCAGCTTCAGTGGGCTGGGAGCAAGAGGCACAGCTGAAGCCCAAGGTCAAGGGGCTTTCACCCAGGCCCTAGAGCCTCACAATTGCAACTCGGACTTCTATCCTCCAAAGTTGTAAGAGAATAAACTCTTGTTTGCTAAAGCCATCCCATTTGCGGTATTTCTGTTAGAGCGGAACTAGGGAACCAAGACACCTGGGGTGCCCCGGGGCGCTTCAGATGCTCTTTGAGAGCTGTGACTCTGGTCCCGATTCAGCCCAATCTCCTCCTTCAGTCTTCCTTTCCCTCAACTCCCTTTTCCCACTTCACACTCCAGTCACACCTGCACTACCACTAACTCACTCAAGAGGATCGATTTTCTCACGCCTCTAGCCTCTGTATGATTTATTCCCTCTCCTTCCCTGCCTACACAGCCGCCACTGCTCCCTCCCATCTCTGTGGGAGGTGAACTCTGTGAGGGGCCTTCCTTCTAGGACAAGAGCCACGAGGGCACTCAACTCCTGACACACTGTTCATTCTCACAGGAAGGAATGACATGCATGTAACGCCAGGAAGTACTTCTATGGTTTGGCATTAGGAACACACAAGTTTCCAGCTCTTGCTTTCTAAAAAGCAAAGTCTCCCATTTTGCTTGGTTTCCTAAACTTCCTTCTCAGCCCCTGCCCTCTCAGGGCCTCTCCACTTGGGCACCGCTGCTCCCCTAGGATATGTGCAGGGGCACATTTTGGGATGTCAAAGGCCGGCCTGGGGAGGCAGGGCCACTGCTAGGACTTAGCAGGCAGAGACCAGGGATGGTGACTGTCCTGCAACGCACCACACAGTTGTATTCAAAACAGTTCCCTCCAAAAATGCTGACAATACCCTTGCCCCCAGCAAGAAACAATGGCCACATAGGTCCCAATTAACATCTCTGCATCTCAGTGGTTGCCTTTCACTGTCAGCTTTTGGAAATGACTGCCAGCTTGGTTCTAGGGCTTTTGCTCAGGTAACAGAAGAAACATGCAAAGCAATGGAGGCAGAACGTCAAAAGATCTGGATGACTGGGTGGAGATGGTCCCTTTCACGGATACACAGAATAAAGATTTAGGGCAAGTTGGAGAAGGTGTTGGGAGCTAGTGCAGAAATTCGTTTACAAGTAAGACTTTAGGAGTTAACCACGTCTAGGTGGCAGTGGAAGCAGGAAGTGTGAGCAAGACGGTTCGGGAAAGAGCACACAGCTAGACTAGAGCATCCCCCAGACTAGAACCCTACGCGACAGCAACGGGGGAGGAGTCAGTGAGCAAGAGGAACTCCGCAAACCTAAGACAGAGGTGGCCGTAGAGGTGGGGGCCACCAGGCGCTAGGGGAGTCTCGGGATGTTTCAAGCCACGTGCAGGGCATTTCTATGGAGGGAAGGGAGAAAGAAACGCCATAGCCAAGCAAAGGAGCACCAGGGTTCTACGGTTGATGTTTTGTTTTTTAAGATGAGCCCAAAGTTCCTGGACAGTGTGGACAAGCTCCAGAGGGAAGGCTGAGGGGCGCCAGGACACGGTGGTGAGAGAATGGGCAGTGGCAAAGGAGAGCGGGAGATCTCTAAAAGGCAAGCGTTTCGCATGACTACTGGAAAACAGGAGGTACCACAGAGCCAGATGGGTGGCCGCTGCAGAGGGGAGGGTGGGCCTAGCTCCCTGCTTCTCACACTGGTTTTCATTAGCACCATCACTCCAGGGGGTTTTGTGGATTTTTTTTCCCTCATTGCCCATCACCACAAAAGTTTAATATACAAATGTTTTGTATCTTTATGCATGTATCTGTGCTTTATGTGTAAAAAGAGTAAGATTCCCCGCCAGTCTCCTGAGAAGGCATGGTCAGACGGAAGCTGGGGACTATAAATCCGTGGTACCCAGTTCATGGGCCACATGACTATCTTCAATAACACCTAGCAGATAGCCAAAGGCAAGTAGTGCAGATGATAAAGGGGTGGTCCGACGATCGTTTAAGGTGCTGTAGGGAGGGTGGCCCGCATGGCACAGGTACCTTCCCTCCAGGTTGTACCCCTACTGACCAACCCTGGAGGTCTTTCCTCCAGGACCAGAGTTAAGAAGCCCTGCCCCGTTCAAGAGCAAGCCCTTCCTGATACTCTGGGTCTTGTTGCCTCTGGCTCCCAGAAAGCCTTGACCCATCAGCCTCCTTTCAATTGGCACCTTCCCCTCAGGGTACATGCTTGACGCTCACATACCCTGAAACACCTTCTGCCTCCTAGATGCCTTCCAGCCAAACTGCGGTCTCCTTGCTCCACTCTTCAGCCAGTTGGTGAAAGCAAAGAGTCTGTACCCTCCAGTTCTCCTCTCAAGCCATCTGCACGTGGCTCTGGGCCCTCAGCTTCCTCGCAGTTAAGCACAAGGCTTTGGAGTCAGGCTGACTGAAGTGGAACCATAGCCCTGCCGCTAACGTGTGGCCAGGAACAAGTAATTTCCCTCTCTGGGCCGCCTCATTTTTCCCAAATGGAAAACAGGGATGATAACTGCACCTACTTCACAGGGTTGTTGTGAAAATTTAATAAGACACTGCATACAAGGTGCCTAGCACCATTCCTGGCACACGGTAAGTGCTCAACACATCTCATTTCCTACCCTTATTTCCAATACCAGGGACTGCCAGAAGAACGAACAAATCTATCCTGGAAAAAGTAGAGCCAGAATGCTCCTTAGAAGCCAGAATGGCCAGACTTCATCTCACCTACTTTGGACACGTTTTCAGAAGGGAACATTCCTTGGAGAAGGATATGATGCTGGCTAAAATAGAAGGTCAGCAAAAAAGGGGTAGACCCTCCAGATGGATTGACACAGTGGCTGCAACGATGGGCTCAAGCACAGTAAAGATCGTGAGGCTGGCACAGGACCAGGTAGTGAGGGTTTTGTTCTGTGGTACACAGGGTCCCTATGAGTCAGAATCGACTCAATGGCACCTAACAACACTACCCTAATTTCTACTATTATTAGCATTACTAGGACCGCTACTTTATTCATCTGTGTATCCCCTATGCTTAGACACCAAAACCAAACCAAATCCACAGCTATCAAGTTGAGTCCGACTCACAGCAGCCCCGATTGGGTTTCTGAGGGGGTAAATCTTTTATGGCAGTAGATTGCCCCGTCTTCTTCGGCAGAGTGGTTGGTGGGTTTGAACCGCCAACCTTCTGGTTAGCAGTCGAATGCATCATATATAGCATTATTAAACATATGAAATCTTACCTCTAGGGACCTGTCATGTCGAAACCCCCAAACACAAGCAGCGACAGACACGGGGGAGACAAAGAAGAGCGGCATGAAGACCAGAAGCCAGAAATGGCTTCCTCTCTCAATTCGGTCACAGACTAGAACCTCAAACATCAGCAGAAGCAAGTGGATGCCCACTGCAATTAGCATGGCTTTGAACTCCACACACGTTTCTCCTTCTGCTCTAAAAGGGGACATGGAGGGGAAAATAAAATTCTCAGTTCAGAATCTGCATTACAAGCAAGCAGTCCATGTTGATACTTTGAATTTTATTTGTAAATCTGATGAAAAGTGAAGGAAAACCAGGTAGAAATTTAATGGAAACCTTATCTTTAATAGACAATCTTTACCATCAAGCTAGGCTGGAACTGTACGAGGACTCGTGAGCGACAACCAGTTACTATTCCTGACAGTACCCGTGTACGTGTTTGTTCACAACCTGAAATTTAGCTGTAAGAATTGCTTCTCAGATTATTCAAGCCAATAGCTTCTACTGCTTAAATCTGAGACACTTTACTTAAATGTTATGATCCTCATCTCTCAACCAACTAAAAACCATGTCTATCATTTCATGTAATATGATAAAAACTACCTCTAGGTTTATGAACAAGTGTGGGTTAGTTAGGTTTCAAGAAAATATAGTGACCATGGTTAGGTGCTATTTGAAAATGCAAGTAAAAAGTATAAATGTCTTCTTTCTAGTCCACCGGGATGAGTTAACACCTGTAGATGAAAGAGAAAAAAAGAGCGAAAGAGTTAATAGTGTTCTCAAACAAAAGCAGGTTATTTAGCTGCAACTGCAGTAGCATGCGTGAATTGAACACATTCACAAATGAAAAGAACAAGGCGACCAATCAGGAAAATGTTTCATAATGCATTCCAAAGGCCTACAATATTCATTCAAAAATACACACTAACACTGATGACCCATCTTGTTGGTGATAATACACCCGAGTTTGGGGCACACATAAAAAAATGCAGTCAGCGATTATTCCAGCAGGATTCAGTACAGTCAATCACACTTGCCCACTTCCTTTCCTTACTCTAAAAACCTTAAACCAACAGAGAAGAGTTCAAATAGCATCTCAGTATCGATTAAGAGGAGCGTGCAAGTGGGCATCCAAGGCACAGCTGGTCTCTATTCACCTCGAACAGCAGAGGAAGATGGTGGGTCAGGAATAGGAGGAGGACATGGAATCTGTGGCTAACTGCCACCATGAACCGCCTCCTCTGCTGTGTGACCAGTGCTGGATGGTGCCCAGCTACCATTACTGAACATCTTGATCAAAGATTCTACAGAAGAATCCTGATCAAAATGGGGAAAATGCAGAAGAGAATTTCAAATTCTCATGGACTTGACTTTCTGGTACCATGGAGGCTGGATGAACCCCTGAGATTACTGTCTTGAGATAATCTTTAAACGTTAAACCCAAAATATCCCCTGAAGTCTTCTTCTTAAATCTGAAAAACAGTTTAGCTTAACTTGTTAAAAAAAAAAAAAAAAGTCTGCTGTGAGCATTCTGCTCTTTGAAGAACTATCTGTATGGGATCAAATTGACAACAGCAACTCGAAAGATTAGATAGGAACCTTAGGGGACAGTGAGTTATATTAATGGGAGAGGAACAACTCAGGAAAGGAGGGTGAGAATGGTCACACAGCTTGAAGAATGTCACCTATTGCCACTAAATGATACAAGTAGAAACTGTTGAACTGCTGTATGTTTTGCTGCATACAGTATCAAAAATAACAAAAAAGGGGGAAAATCAATTAGTGACACTTGAAATGTTTAGTTATTTAATTTTTCATTATTTGAGTGTCAAACATTAGATACCTGAAAATATCCCATAAAAAAGAAAAGACTTGGATCCGCACAGATAATCTTATTAAAAAAAAAAAAAAAAAACTAAGAACTTTCAAATAGCTACACATGGAAATGCATCTGCCTCCACAAGGCTTCTGGAGTTTCCGCTCTTCTGGGAATAAAAAGGAATCAGAAAATAGTGGCTGAGCAAAAGACAACTGAAGAAATTTTCTGTGTGCAATACATAATTTACATGATCTAAATCTTAGTGTACTTTAAAGTTAATACCAAGAACTAAACATGCTGAGGGGTCCCAATGTCTACTTTTCTCATTGGAGCAGCTGCCCTAGGTTGCTACACAGACCCCCTCTCCCTTCCCCAGCTGCTTCCTGACCATTCCCTTCCCTCCTCACTGTCCCTGTGAAGGTTTACACTAGGCCTCCACCTCACCACAGGCTCACATCCCTGTTACTCAGTTAAAGCCTACCTTGGTGGTACATTCATTCCTTTCTGGCCTTCTAGTCTCAGTGAGGGAGAAAGGACAGAACAGGGTGGCCTCCTCACACTCTGGCTCTCCCAGGCCCCAGCAGCACCAGGCTGTTGGGACTAGAGTGAGACAACTCGTGAGAATGTAGACCAGCTGAGGCATCCAGGAAGATGGGT